GGTGACCAGAACTGAACTGCGTAATCCAGGTGAGGTCTCACAAGCGCTAGATATAATTTTAAGATGACCTCGCTAGTCTTGTCACTAACACTCCTTTGTATGAACCCAAGTACTTTATTAGCCTTGTTACTAGCAAAAACACATTGTTTACTTGGCTTAAGATTCCTACTTATCATTACTCCTAAATCTCTCTCGCAGTCGGATTCCACAATGGCATCGTTGTTCATCTGGTAACTGGTTTCCCTGTTTGCATCTCCTATACTGAGTACTTTACATTTGTCCACATTGAATTTCATCTGCCATTTTTCCGACCATTCGAAAAATTTGTTTAGAGCTTCCTGTAGTTTTGCAGAGTCCTCGTCAGATTTAATTACACGTCCTATTTTAGTGTCATCGGCAAATTTACTTATGTTGCTGCCTATGCCGATATCTATGTCGTTTATGTATATAATAAATAATAATGGTCCAAGTACTGAGCCTTGGGGAACTCCACTAGTGACGTTGTTCCAATGCGATTTAGTGCCGTTTATGCTCACCCGCTGTTCCCTGTCCCGTAACCACGCCCTAATCCATTTAAGGATATTACCTTTGATGCCATGCGCTTCTACCTTTCTAATTAGTCTTTCGTGGGGGACTCTGTCGAAGGCTCTGCTAAAGTCGAGATATACCGCATCATAATTGTGCCCCTCGTCCACCAATTCGAAAACTGATGAAAAGAATGTTAATAGATTAGTTAGACATGAATGCCCGCTTGTGAAGCCATGTTGGGAATCATTGATCAACTTGTGCTTCTCCAGGTGGTTTCGAATAGAATTTGAAATGATTGATTCTAGTAATTTGCCTACTATTGATGTTAGACTGGGCGGTAGTTAGAGGATAGTGATCTATCCCCCTTCTTGAAAATCGGTATTACATTCGCTATCCTCCAGGTTTCTGGTACTACACCTGTTTTTAAGGACATGTTAAACAACTTTGCTAAGGGCATACTAGGCTCTTCCTTACATTCCTTTAATACTCTGGCAAATATCTCCTCGGGACCAGGTGACTTATTAGGCTTCAGTTTGTCTATTTGCTTATTAACGTCGTTACTAGTCACTACTATCTCGCTTAATTTGTTTTCTTCACTATCTCTGAATAGAGTCGGAGCCTCGGGTATCTTGTTTAAATTTTCGGTGGTGAAAACTGTTGAAAAATATTTATTCAGATTATTGCTCATTTCTCCGTCGTTATCAGTTAGCTCGCTGGTATCTGACTGTATTGGTCCAATCTTATCTCGTGTTTTAGTTTGATACATTTGGTAGAATCCTTTGGGGTTTGTCTTCGCCTCCCTTGCTATCTTCAGTTCATTATGCCTCTTTGCTTTCCTTATCTCGGTCTTAACCCTACCGGCCAATACCTTATAATACTCCCGGAGGTAAATTTCGCCACGGTTTATCCTTCTACCTATAGCCTTCCTTTGGCCAATAGTGTTCTTTAAATAATTATTTATCTATTTAGGGTCATTGTTGTCTGATCTGAGTTTTTTGTATGGTATGTTCTGCCTTTGTGCATTAAGTAACTCATTATTTAAATTGTCGTGGAACTCGACAATCTCGGATCTCGTTATCAGGTCGGTGTCATCTGTCAGGTTCACGCCCAAGCGCGACACCCCCTCTCTCAGCTGCCTCTCTAAACTATCAAAGTTTGCCCTTCTGAAATCTGGGACTTTAATGGAATTTTCCTTGAGTCTGACCTGAAAATCTAACTGGAATCTAATTTCTTTGTGATCGCTGTTTGCAAGTTCGTTCCCTACCTCGACATTGCTAATGAGGTTTTCTCTGTTCGACAGAACTAAATCGAGTATATTATTACCCCAGGTGGGTTCGGTTATATGTTGACTTAGGAAACAGCCCTGGATCGTTTCGAGGAAATACTCTGATACTGAGTTACCCGTAAGGTCAGTCCAATCTATTTGGCCAAGGTTAAAATCGCCTACTATACAGACTTTGTTGTGTATGGAAGCCCTGCGCATTTCATCCCAGATAAGTCGCTCGTTAACTCTATCAAGATTGGGAGGTCTATATATTACTCCTATGATTAATTTTTCCCTACCGTCGATTAATTCTATCCAAATTGTTTCTGTATTCCGCTCAGTTTTTATTTCCTTAATTATTTCACACTTCAGATTATCCCTGACATAGATTCCTACTCCGCCTCCTTTCCTGGTCTGCCTATCGGTATGGAACAATTTGAACCCGCAATTTGGTATTCGACCTGTAACTCACGTGTGTCTAGGTTGATCCATGTTTCAGTGAATATTATTATATCGATTTTTTCGGTACATACCAAGGCCCTAATATCATCCATTTTGTTTCTCATACTTCTACTGTTCGCGTAGTAGACATTTAAGTTAGTCGTGTTCTGAGTCCTCCCCTTACCGCGTTTAGCTTTAACTCCGTCTAATTTAGTTTTGTTGTCATTCCGAGCACTATTTCCCTGTAATCTTTCACTTTGTTTACCCGCTCCCACTGCAGTCTCCTCCACCCCCGTGCCCATATGTTCCCCTAGCAGTTTAAAGACTTCGATATCCTTTGAACTGCCCCCTCTAGAGCCCCAGCCAGGGTTGCCACCCCCATCCCTAGACAGATGCACCCATCACTAGCATAAAGGTCCCTTCTGCCGTAGAAGTTGTCCCAGTTGTCAATGAATGGGACTGATATTGACTTGCAATATCTGTCAAGACAGTCGTTGACACCAACCGCCCTTGACAACCAATCACTGCCAACTCTCCTTCTAGGCAGGACACCGCATATGATAGGGATCCCTCCCTTAGTCCTAATACGATCTATAGCTGTCTTGAACTTATCAAGAAGCTCCTCGCTCCTACACCGGCCAATATCATTGCCTCCTGCACTGAGGCAGATAATGGGTTTGTTCCCATTACCAGACAAGATATTGTCCATCCTGTCAATTATATCCCCCACCCCAGCTCCTGGCAAACACACCCTCATCCTATTTTTGTTTTTACCACAAAAAGCCCTGTCCAAGTACCTTACCTGTGAGTCACCAACAATTAAAGTTTTTATACCTTCCTTGTTTTTATACCTTCTCTGCGTCATTCGAGTTGGTCAATAATTTAATCGGCATTATTATTAATATTGTTATTATTATTTATTATTATTATTGTTATTATTATTATTATTATTATTATTATTATTATTATTATTATTATTGATGTTGTTGTCGTTATTATTATTAGACATCTGGTTGTACTCTGCCGTAAAGTCTAAACACGTCTAGATTTATTATTAAGTGTATAAATGCATAACATCACTCTCTTGGGTTTTTCACTAGTGTTGAGTGAGGAATTGATTGTGTGTTCATGCGTCCGTGTGGTGTCCTTGATTGTGTATCCGTGTGGTGTCTTTGTTTACGGGTCCGTGTGATGTCCTTGTTTACGGGTCCGTGTGATGTCCGTGGGTTGTCCTTGAGATATTTATCCGTCCGTGTGTTATACCTGCCTTTTCCAGAGCAGTAGACAACCTGATAGTCTATATTTTAAAGAAAATGTATATAAAGGTGATTTAAAACTCACAGGCACAGCATAATTGACTTTTTAAATATCTGTAATTATTTCAAGTAATTAACACCAATTACGCGAAATTTTAAATTGTGACCCCAGATCCTTAATCAACATGTAAAGTAGTACCTCTGTAAGCCACCCTGCCATGGGTCTGTGCGTTGTAAACAGGATGACTCGTAAAACATAACAAATTATTTTAACTAGACATTGACTGGGGAAATTCCCTATTTCTTATTGACAAACTTTTTTCTTGTTTAATTTTATGATTTTCAAAGCCCCGCCATCTTAAATTTCTCTATATCCACCTGATGTTTCTCATTTATGTACAGGATTTAGAAGTAACACTATCTTACTTCATTTTAAGGCGTTCTTGTATTTATGTTGTTGTTGTTTTTACATGGATGTTAGTCGTGGGGTGAGTGGGTGTGGCAAAAGTCGCGCTCTTGTCTCACAGTTGATCGTCAAAAACACGCTTGAGTGTGTGTCTGCGTTTGTTTCCATCTGTTTCCTTCCACGCACTCTCTCTCTCTCTCTCTCTCTCTCTCTCTCTCTCTCTCTCTCTCTCTCTCTCTCTCTCATGTAATGAATGTTTATCAGACCATAGCTTACAGCCCAGAGAAGAACAGCACCTATAACAGTAAGTACATGCGCAGGTGTACACCCACGTCAGTTGACCCACCCTACAGTAACCAGTGAGATTAAGACCTGACCCAGTGTACGTCACGGCCACAAAGGGAACCAGAGTTCTCACCGCCACGGGAGTAGTTAAACCGGCGTCGTGACCATGTTTATTCGAGAAACTACCCTCCAGCCAGCACCACGCACCTGGCCAAACACAGCTGTCTCGACACACCCAGGTTAGTGTTAATTAGTGACGACATCTGCCAGGCCGACAGCTCCTTCCCAACGAGAGACAGAACTCAGTCACACTCGTGACAAGTCGAGGTTGGGAAGGGGACTTCCCTCCCCAGCACAGAGTCCCCAGCTAGCAGCACCTGCAAACAATCCCCAGCCGCTGGGCCTCCCTCAGGTCACACGTGAGTCATTGTCAGAGCGATCTATAGGATGAGTTAGTTACGGTGGGAAGTGTATCCATTTCATGGTTGTGTCTGAGAGTCATTGTCTAGTAACGTCAATATAATCATCTATTAATGAGTCCATGCCATTGAGTTAATTAATAAATAGCTGTACTTAGAATTGGTGTCTAGAAACTTCCCCCTAAGAATATAATACCAAGTTCAACAACTGATCTGCCACGCTACCAATCTACTCCTAAACTCTACCTATATTTCTACCCTGAGTTAAACCTCATTACACTCTCTACAGTACCTGTGTGTGTGGCTTGAAGGGTACTGGTGTTATGTTTGTGGTGGTGTCTGGTAGTTACAGGTGTCAACAATAATTAATTAACCATCTACTTCCCTCTTCTTCCCGGCAGGTGTCGGGGGGCGGCAGGGGTCGGGTAAAGGTGACGGTGTACTTCGAGTCCCTGTGTTCTGACTCGATGAAGTTCTTCAAAGACCAGCTGTACCCGACCTGGCGTGACCTGCAGGATATCATGGACCTGGAGTTTGTTCCTTTCGGCAAGGCTACGGTGAGTCCTATTGTAAGTTGATTCATGCTAGCCCACAACACACACCCACCCACCTTCAGACTTCTAAACAGGTATACGTGTCTTAGGTGACCTTGGCATTGAATTATGACTGGGGATGGAGGAGGAGAGAGAGGAGGGGGTTAGAAGGCGGATGAAGGGTACTTTACTGGGAGGGTGGGTAGGGAGGTGGTGGGGGGTGAGGTTGTTACATGGTGGTGAAGGGCAGAGGATAGTGGCGGATAAGGGGTATATTTATATTACCTTGGGAGAGGGGGTGGGAGTGATGGGTTAAGGTGAAGGGGCATAAAGGATAGGGGTGGTGGGGGGGGATGGTAGGGGGTGTGGTAGTTGTGTGAGTGTGGTGGTAGGGGTAGGGGATCGTAAGTTCAATTTTCCTCTTAACTGGAGATGTAAAAGTGAATCTCAGCAACTGATTTACTCTTAAACTATTAGATCATTGGGTCATTATCCCCTTTTCACCTGATGCCAGAATAACTACCTGACGTTATGTGTAATTATAGGTTCACGTATTTATCTCTTAAGTACTTGATATTATGTAAGATGCTAATGAGTCATTTGTTGGTCTCGCTTAAACTTTTCTCCCTCCCCTCACTGTCACCGTCAACACCTGGTGAAGCAAGTTTAGCCAGGTGCACACAACACCCTCACACAATTTTCTCACTGGACAAATTCCCACCAGACCGTTCCCACTCGCAGAGATCTAACCACACAACACTCCAGGAGACAAAATATCTTGCTAGATATTTTTTTTAATTCGATAAAATCCCAAAACGAAACATCTAAGAGAAATCTCACCAGCTTGTTGGATTAAATGGAGGTGGAGGTGTAGACGTGTGGGTGAAGCAACACAGGTGATACAACTTGAGTACCAGTAGGGATGGGTGTAGTGGTTTCAGGCCAGAGGAAGGGAGGGAGATGATCACTGACCACCTGCCAAGGACGACCCCTCCTGCTCTGGGCCTTGGGAGGGAGCCATGGGTGTGGTTGTTATTACCTGCTTCCTCCCTCCCTCCCTATCCCTCCCCACTCTTTGTTTTTCTTCCCATAGTGGCTCCCTCCCCTCTCCCTCCCTCCCCACTCTTTGTTTTTCTTCCCATAGTGGCTCCCTCCCTTCTCCCTCCCTCCCCACTCTTTGTTTTTCTTCCCATAGTGGCTCCCTCCCCTCTCCCTCCCTCCCCATTCTTTGTTTTTTCTTCCCATAGTAGCTTCTTCCCTCCCTCCTAACTGTTGCACAACCCGGAATTCAGAAGGGGTCGGACGGGACCCCACCCACATGGATTCGGGCTGAATAAGGCGGGTTAGAAGGACAATTTATAATGAGTACAATATTTTAAGTGTTATGAAAAACACCCCTTGTGGTTTTTCTTATCTCCTAAAGATTCGTCCCAGGTTTGGTTAGTTTAGTTTCGTAATAACTGAAAATGATAATAATGATGAGGATAATGAATGGTTTGTGCGTATGGGGAAAGGAGATTATAACAGACATTAAATGCTGTTGTAACGGTAGTAAAAGTGAAGACAGGTGTACTTACCATATGGTGTGGGTAAGTTGAGTCTACCAAGGGAAACTACATCTTGAGTGTCCATCAAATAAGGGAAAGTGAGCTGTCAGGTTCCTAATAGTACATCTGTTTCTTAACCCACTCTTATCTGATTAGGGTGAAAAAGCTGCAATGATCCAATAAAGAAAAATAATTAGTGAAGTATAATAGAATGATAAGTATATGAATAAGTCAGGAATGTGTAATGTATGTTGTTGTTGTATTGATGTAGCGACGGGACTCGTGAGTTTTTTTTAGTTTAACAAATTTATTGGCAGAGCTTGTAGTACAGTTTGCCTATTCTGAGTAATTCAGTCAGGTCTTGACACTGAGGGTGGTATCACTTCTCACTGTCACGCAGGACAGAGGTTCACACACAAAGAAATACATCATATTCATTAACAACTATAAATGTATAGAGGTCAGATTCATATGGATATTGTCACTGTTCACTGCCATGCAGGACAGAGGTTCGTACACAAAGAGTTGCATCATATTCATTGACAGTACATATACATATATGTAAACACACACACACACACACATATACATACATATACGTATATACATACACATATACATGTACACGCACATATACATGCACACACGCACACATACATACATATACGTCGGTCAGATTCATGTGGGTAATGTCACTTTTCACTGCCATACAGGACAGAGGTTCGTACACAAAGAATGCATCATATTCATTGACACTATATATAGGTCAGATTCATGTGGGTAATGCCACTGTTCACTGCCACGCAGGACAGAGGTTCGTACACAAAGAAGGAAATACATCACATTCACCAGCAGCATATATGGGTCAGTGGATCACATACATTGGAGTCATATTCTAATTGAAGACTAATCAGTGTGGGCTAGCAAATTTGGGATAAACAGCAAGAATGTCCTCAAGCACACCTGATTCAATGAAGTAATTACATAGTTCAAGATACAGTAAGTCAGGTGGCCTGAAGTCTTTGACAGTGTCACATTCAATAATATAGTGTTCAAGTGTATGCTTTAAAGGTTTATCACAAAGTTTACATGCTGAGTGTTCCGGTATGGGTACAGCGTTACTAACTTGCCAGATGTGTCTGTATCCTAGCCTAATTCTGGCCACGACTACATCACATTGTCTGGTTCTGTCCTTATGCTGGCCATACCGGTACCTCTTGTTACAAAATTTGTCATATTTACTAATGCTACAACTGTCAGGTCTCTCTGCATTTCTCACTTCTTCTAGATCAGAGTTCATGATTCTGACTTGAATGTTTTTAATTACAGCATTGGACAGACCAAGGTCGCGGTCAACATTTTCTTTCTTACATGCCTCATTGGCCAGTCTATCAGCACGGTCATGATACCTGATTCCAACATGGGACGGAATCCACACAAATTCGATACGAAAGTTGTTCTCATTGGCAGTTATCACATTCCTTTTAATATCACATGCAACTTTAGACATAGAACCTGACGGGCTGTTCATTGATTTCAAAGCACTTTGAGAGTCACAGAATATCACCCCACCTCCATTTTCTTTGAGGTAGTCTGTGGCTAAGTAGATTCCAGTTAGTTCAGTTTGTGTTGTGCTGGCCCAGTTGTTCAGCCTTTGTTTGTTTGACACTATCATCTCTTTTTCTTTATATATTACAATTGCACAGCCTGTTCTACCTGTGTTTGTCTGCACAGAACCATCAGTAAAAGCATAACATTCACTTGATTTAATACTCTCTATGTGTCTGTTAATAGTTTCTAGTGTGACACATCTCACCACATCGGTGTTTAACATTTGCTTACTACCAACAGGAGTGTAATTAATAGGAACTGATATGTCCAGCCAAGGAGGAATGGCATTAATAGGTTCGTCTGGGGTGTTGAATTTACCAAGTTTTGATATGTTCTTCTTTGAAACAACAATATTTTGGAGTAGACCACCTTATTCTTAAACTGTGTGACGTATTGTTTTGATTTCGGATTCCATGGGTTTAAAAACAAAAGAATCATGAGCATGCACGTGTCGTAACTGAGTATATAAACATTGCTGGTCGCTGTAAAGGTCTTGTAACGTGTCTTAGGGGAGCGACGGCTTGAGTGGATATAGGGCTCAATTCCTGTCCTATTGGTCGCCTCTGGTTCACGCCAGAACAGCCCCAGTTCACCCAGTTGTAAATTGAGGTTTAATTTTTCAGTTTGGGGAATTCAGGCTGTTGATTACAGTGTCGGACGCGCGGTCTCCCTGTGTACCAAAGGCTTAGCATACTTGATGAAAGAATGAAGTCAGAGCCGGTGTATAAAAGTATCTTGTTATGGTCACAGATAAAACATGCAATCTAATATCCGTGCTCTCTGATACAGGCAACGCCGACGGGGACTGGTGACTACGAGATGGAATGTCAACACGGCCCCAACGAGTGCTACGGTAACAAGGTGATGACGTGCGCTCAGAACTCCCTCACCATCGCAACCCAGATGGAGTTATTCCACTGCATGATGACCAAACCGTACCCCGCCTTCACTGGGGAACAGGTGAGTGAACACTACCCAGACCTTGTTGACAGGCGGAGATAAAACCCCGCGACAGTCACTTGTATGTAGGAAGGAGGGACACGAGATGTCGGGAAGCAAGAAAGTGCAAGATATGTACAGATGAAAGAACGATGTGTCAAGGACGAGTGAAGGACGTAATGTCGACGTTGATAAGAGTAGACACGAGACAGCAGCAGGACGTTCGAGGTGGACCAGGGTACTGGGACTGCTGTGGTGTGTCGGAACACTGTACAGGGACTAATACATTTTTTTTTTATCCCAGTACAGTAAATATTTTCCAGACAAATACAGCTACAGATAGCGAATTATATTATATATATATATACATACAGTATAATATATACACGTTGGCTAAGACTATAGATCCTCGGTCATGGATGATAAGAGACAAATATTAATACATTTAATTTATAAACCGTAAGTAAAGGTCTCAAGAAAAGATATGCACTGTACTGTACTGTACCATCTGTAGTGGGTCGACGAAAACAATGTGTGAGATAATAGAGGGAATGTTGTTGTATACGAATAGGTCAACAAGGTGCACGAGAGGATGTTGCAAAATTTGGGTGAAAGGCCATATTGACCACATGAACGACAATGGCAGGATATAAACGCTTTGAATAGGGTGATGAACAAGTTTTAGAGGTGACGGAAGAAATCACGACACTGTCTCCTCGTATAAAATGTAAATAACTTCGTGTTTATGATGATAGGCGTTGCCACATTTCTCAAGTGTTATTATACCTACTGAGTGGCCCTAGTGCATATAGACTGTAGGTTGTGGATTGTTTAATTTTTTTTTATTTCAATGTAAACATCTACTTTATATATATTAAAAGAAAGATCAATTGGTGATTTTCTGAGTCATAAGAAAAGTTATACAGTCAAGCAAGTAGCCTTAAACTTAACAGTATATTGAAACAAACAATTCAGGAATGTGTTGTGAAACGTTAATCCTGTCTTGGGCGTCAATATCCAGTTTATGAGATCAGTTCAGCCTTCCTTGTACCAGGATACGTTTTTCCTGAGCTGTTATAACTGTTCATATTATCAGGGCCACTGCGAGCACTCCCACTCTGCCCACTGTTAGCGAGTTGTTGCTCTGAGATCACTAAACGAGAAGCTGTATAGTGTGGCTGTATTAAGGAGAGTATGGGAGATAATGATATTCAGTTGTTCACTTCCTGTTGTAGGTGATGCGTGGCGTGGCGTCTGAGTCAATACAACGCTCGCCAAACGGGTTATGGGACACGCTCAGGGCGTTCCTAGGACAAGTTGCGGAAATGAATGTGACCAAGTGTAGTCAAGCCATACTGCCGCCTGTGTGTTTGTTGTATCCACACTCTCCATTAGTAATGTAGTGAACCTAAAACATAACATCAGGGACTTTATATATAATTTAGAAATCGTTAAGCTTTGATGCTATTGTTTTCAAAGCGTTTGGTTGCCTAAATTTCCGATTGTACTCACCCCTGAGGATGTGAATTACACGAAAGCTCTTGGGAACTTCGTGTTTTCTTCTTTCCTTGTGGTTATCAGCATATACCTAGATCACGCGCACCTACAGTGATTTACTTGCATATATATATATATATATATATATATATATATATATATATATATATATATATATATATATATATATATATATATATATATATATATATATATATATATATATATATAATACTTTTATTTTTAACTTTACTTCTGTGTTTTTGTGTATTTTCAACATTTGAATCGTTTTTACGTTTTTGTTGTATTATCAGTCAGATAAGAGAAAAGTAAAGAGATGTAGAAACGTGTGAAATTGACTTAGACAATTACAAAACCCTTTTTCTAGCATATAATACACGAGTACTGTAGTCCCTTTCTTCAGCTATTCTCACCTTTTGTTTTATTTACTGTTCTTGTTCAAATACTTACCTGCAGTGTAGCAGAGAGGTTGGCGTCGACTGGGCCCCGATTGATGAATGCTCTAAGAGTACAGTTGGGTCTGGTCTGCTCTATAAGAATGGTGTCCGGACGTCGTCACTCAAGCCACGCGTTTACTTCATCCCAACAGTTACCATTGACGGGGTAAGGGAGTTTTCTCTGTGTTCCTGTTTGGTTAAAAGACCTTTTTTTTATATAAACAGAAGAAATCCAAACAAATGAGTTTAATATATGATGATATATTATTGCTAATGTAGAATTATGTATTTACAGTACCACTAAATTGCAGAGCTACTTCATGAACTTGGAATTTTTACATTTCGACCCGGGGATTATAAATTTCGATCAATATATCTATGAACTTCCTTCCTATACCAATATTACTTGGGAATGGGGAGATTGATTGATACACGAACAGCGTCGATGGCAACAATAGAACACCTTGAACATCACACAACAGCACTCACACCACACATTATATCGCTAACTTTCAAACTATGTGTATGAAACCTACCACAATCTACCCTCTGCTCCCCATAATAGAAATGTTTCGTCCTCAGCACTACAACCGTAATCAACTGAGAACCTCACTTGGGGACTTGAAGACTCAAATCTGTGAGGTGTACCAGGGACCACCACACCAGAATTGTCTCTAAATTTTTTCGTCATTTCTCCCCAGCAGAGGTTTAAAGAAGTGCTGAGAACAAATAGTTTTAATGTCTCAATGTTACTGCAATATTTTCAGTGCTTCTTATTAGACAGGTCATACAGTTTACAGACTTCAGTGCAATCTTAACTAAAACATTCCTGCCAAGTTTCATCTCAGTGCAATTTGAAACCGAGGACTATGTTTATTTTATCTCGTTAAATATTTGTCCTAGTACTGAAGTGTTTTTCTCATTTTTCCATTCCATTACTAGGCCCTATTAACCATTCAAAATATATCTTTCAATTACTGTACTGTATCTTGTCATTATTACCCTCCTCTTGACTTTCTCATTTTAAAGCCATAACTCCTGTACTTTTCTTCTCCATATTTATTTTGATATTCTAATATAGTTTTCTTAAGTATAAAATGACTACTGGATTTGACTCTCTTCCCATTTTTAATTCCCTCTACTACTCTTACATCATTATTTCAAGTACCGTATCCAAAGAAGATAGGTCTCCCATTATTGTTCCGCATTTAATGGATTCCAGTTCTAGGCAATATGTAAAACTTCTTTTACTAGCAAAGAGAATAAAAATCAAGAGCTAACCTCTGATCTCTTCTCATTTAACACTGATTTGTACTTAGTATTAAAGTTTGTTATATCCATCTTGTATTAAAGATAAAAACTTAAGACATTAACCAGATGTTCTATATTTTTATTACAATAGCTCCTAAGCTCCTCCAATATGAGCTCGAGTTGACAATGTATCATTTAGCCTTGGAAGGGTTCACAGTAATGTAAATACCTGTATAACATTTCTTTATAAGTTAATGATCACCTGAAGACTCGCCACCCAGCTTATTTCACCTGAAGATTAACCACCCTAAGCTATACCAGTTTTCTTGCTGCAAACATAAATTTTCCACCCACATTAATTTCCAGGCATATGACCCTCAAGTAACAGTACAGTATTTAAGAAAATGGTCTTTGTGGTTCACTGCATCAGTAATCAGAAGTCTTACACATATACAGTACATTGGATGTTGTGAATAAATTTAGCAAAGGTTTGTGCATTATGAAGAATGAAAGATGTAAAGGATTAAATTGTTTTGTCGATAAGAATGGTCGCAATTTTGGCTGATGTACAAGGTCACGTTTTTATTCGGGATCCCTAAATGTTTCTAAATTATTATATTTTTAGGTTCCTGTTTATTGCACGTCCTAAAATATGTTAATCATTTAAGGTTCTTTGATTAAAAAAATACCCTGTACCCTTAGCATTACCATGAAACATCAATACTTTAGTTAAAAACATCGACATTGTATTTTTTCCTAGTTTTTAGATTAGAAACTATGATGTAATAATTTTACTATAATACCGGGTACATTTTATTGGGCATTTTCTTACTTTTTTCTGGGATTATAAGTTAAAATTTGGGTATAAATTTAAATTCTCCTACTTGTTAAACTATGATGAGGTGTTGGTCTAGTGAGATCCTGCTCCTTCTAGACCAGTGGTTCTCAACCTTGTTTGCCATGCACCCCTTTCACTATATGTCAGAATGTCATTCCCCCTCTTTTCCAAGATTGTCTGCCTCAAAAAGTGCATTCCAAATAATATGCATATAATACTGAAAATCCTTTATTTTTTCCATATTAGTACATATACATTTACAATTTTACATGGATTATTTTTATAGTGGAGTTTTACAAATTAAATGCCAATTGAAAATGTTGATGGATTTATAAAACTTAAATAAAAGTAAAATAGTTTTTTTTTATTTATAATGAATTACTTAACAGACCAAACTGAAGCATAATGCAATAAACAAAAAGTTCAATAGAATACCAGGATATTGTAAATTTATAATTAATTTTATTCAGATGAAGATTACAGTCAATGAGAAACCTGTGATTGTTTTTTCTTCGCCAATTCTGGGATACGCGGAGGAGTGCTTGAAAGGGCACAACGCAGGTCATTTTCTCCCTCTAATCTACTACGTTGCTTCGTTTTAATTTGCAACAGAGTTTAAAAGCCTGACTCACAAAGATATGTCGACACAAACGGAAGCAATGCACGGATGGCTCTTTCTGCCACTTTTGGGTAGGAATCGCACATTAAGGGCCAAAATTCTGTGATTGATTTCTCAACGGAACATATCTCTTGCTCCCGAACCAGTTTCCCCCCCCCCCCTGGTTGAGAACCCATGTTCTAAAACAAGGTTGAATGACCATTTGTATCGAGATGAAGTTGATTAAATGCTTTTATATTCTGCTATACATTTTTCATTATGTCCCTTATCACAGATACTAATGCATTATTATTTTATTTATTTTACTAAGTAAATTAAGTGACCGGAGGATGCAGCAGGACTGTATACAAGTACGATATTAACAAGTGAAGACAAACTTGTGGTTTATACCTGATGTCTAAAAACTACCACTGTACCACATTATAACTCTGAAATACTGTAATATGTCGAATACAATTAAGGGTAAAGAAAAGGAGGAATATACCAGGAAATATTTAATTGTATCAAATGGAACTTATGCTTCACAGTGTAATAATGTCATGAATGTTTCCCGCCAAGCGTGAGCCAATCACAGTGACCTGTGAGTGTGAATGCCTTAGGCCTGAACCAATAAGAGAGCAAGGAGACGTGACGTCATGATCGTGTGGCAGCCTGTGTCTTAGGGCAGCCTGTGTCTTAGGGCAGCCTGTGTCTTAGGGCAGTCTGTGTCTTAGGGCAGTCTGTGTCTTAGGGCAGCCTGTGTCTTAGGGCAGTCTGTGTCTTAGGGCAGCCTGTGTCTTAGGGCAGTCTGTTTTGGCATTGTGATGTATAGATGTGCGTGGGTCATCCTTTCCCATGGCGGAATATATTTGTGTGAGTCGGACCTTTCAGGTTTTATCCGTTTCACGAAATTTATTGTGATTCGTGTGACCCCTCGTTAGCTAGCTAGGAAGACAGGTTATTGTTTTGAAAGTGAAACCGTTCCTTTTGAGTAACGTCGTTAATAAACGAAGAACCGTTGTGATTTGTTCTCAATTCCCTTGTGTTGAGTAAAACATTGTCATGCATGTCTTTGGTATTATGCAGTGATACAGTGAGCCATAAGAAATATCATAACCCCATTACCTCAGTTGTCCACATCCTTGGTCTCCCCGTGGTGAGTGAGGGCCTACATTCCTTAACACCCCTCAGCCAGCCTCGGCCATAAACAAGTCTCTCCCTCTCAGTTGCTCCCTAACCTTCTCCATTTCACAAGTATACAGTACGAAGTTGATATACAGAGAGTAACGAACAAAGGAGGGCAGATTAATAAAAGGTAAAAAAATAAGAAAATAAAAGTAAATAAAAAACTTTTTATTGTTACAAGAGAATATTGTCAGGATAGTTGAGTGATGGGAACATCTCACTTTGGTCCACATTTTCAGAAGCTTTATGGTGATCTCTGTACGGATTACAGATTATGAATTTATGCTCTTCAACTCCTGTACTGTACAGTGTGTTATTTGGTAAGATACCATAATTAAATGATATTTGCTTTATATATGTCTCGTTTTCTATAATAATTTTCCCCATTTTCTATGACAAAAATTTCCCATTTTCTATGATGAAATATTCCCATTTCTATTGTGAAAATTAAAGTTTCTATGATGAATTTACTGTTTTATATGATGAAAATTTCCCGTTTTCTATGATAGATTTCTATTATTAAAATTTCTTATTTTTTATAATTAGACTTGCCATTTTCTATAATGATATTTCTCGTTTTTATGATGAAATTATCCATTTTCTGTGGTACAATTCCCCATTTTCTATGGTGAAATTTCCCGTTTTCTATAATATATTTTTCGTTATTTATAATGAAACTCCGTTTTCTATGATGTAATTTTTCGTTTTCTATGAATAAAATTTCCCATTTCTAAGATGAAATTTAACGTTTTCTAAGATGAAGTTTCCTATTTTCTATTATTGAATTTTCCCACTTTCTATGATGAAAACCTTTCCGTTTTCTCTGATGAAAATTCTAGTTTTCTATGACAATTTTTTTTCTACCAATAGTGGTGTTCCACAGGGTTCTGTTCTTTCACCTACTCTTCCTTTTTTTTATCAACAATTTACTTCACACTATGACTAATTCTATCCATTCTTATGCTGATGATTCTACTCTTCACTCTTCACATTTTGCCCTTCCTCCTAACTCTCAAACTAGATTTGCTTCTAGAGCTGATATCGTTCCATCTATCAACGCGGATCTGTACAGCATCTCCGAATGGGGAAGTAGAAACCAGACTGGTGCCTGCACTACGGCACCTCAGCTACCCTGAGAGATTGGAGCGCCTGAACTTGCCTAGCTTATACTACAGACGGGCAAGGGGTTACCTAATTGAGGTGTATAAGCATCTCAAGGGGCACTACTCAGTTGAGTGTCCTTACTTGGAGCTGGCGGACGCTCGCCCCACAAGGGGTCACAGCTCAAGATTGAAGAAGCCGCAAGTCCAGAAAACTGTGAGGGTAAACTTTTTCTGATTGAGGGTTGTGAACTCTTGGAACAATCTGCCAGAAAGTGTTGTGATGGCACTGAGTGTGAGCTCTTTCAAGACCAGACTTGACCAACACTGGAGCAGGTTCAGGTACATTCAGGAGCCGGTGCATGCCCAGTACTTGCCAACAGTGCGTGACAGAGACGTGACCGATTGCCCAAGCGGCTAACAAGCTGATCAGTGGTGAAGAGGATAAAATAATAATAAAAATTATAATAAAACACAATATTTACCAATTACACTTTACAATATAGAAGATCTCCCACCAATCACATTTCAGGGCTCAATAATTCTGCCAAATTCCAAAATAGATATGCTAGGCCTCACCATTTCCTCTAACATGTCATGGAAGCCACACATCCAAAACATTGCTAAAACTGCCTCCCGAAAGCTAGGAATGCTGTATAGATACCGTAGCTACTTCACTCCTGAGCAATTACTTCAGGTTTAAAAGGGATTCATTCGACTTAACTTGGAGTACTGCTTTCATATCTGGGGGTGGCTCTTATTCTATCCAACTGTTAGAAAGGGTGGAATCAAAGGCATTTCGTCTTATTAACTCTTCTGCTTTAGTTGATAATCTCTCTTCCCTTTCTCTTTGCCGTAAGTTGCTTCACTCTCTCTTTTCCAAGTACTTTAATTCGAGACTGAAATCACTTGGCAACTTTTGGTATATCTCGGATTGCCTTGAGTCTGAAGTTCGAAACAGCTGGAATGCTATAGTCGTAACAGATGTCGCCCACTACGAATTGTGTGGAGAGGGGTTTGTCTAGTAACAAGCTGTGTGTGGTAGACATAACATCGTGAATTCACAATCACTGTTAACAATAAGAATGTCATGAAGATAATGCTATTATTAAGCAATTTGAAATCTGTACAACTGGTAAATAAAGCACCACAACGACCATATCTCTGCCGTTCATGGCTACGGGTGCGACTGATGGGCACACCAGTAATTCCGTGACTGTTAATGGTGGTCACGGAGTCTCCTAATTGTTACACCAAGGTTGGCGCCACCCACACCAGGGGAAGAATAAAGAACACCAGAGCATGGTCTCATTCTGTCGTCGTCCTGCTGGGTAAGTCACGTAATTTGTCACCATAGCCATGTCGTCCTTATACTATTGCAGGTGTCCCATAGTGTAGATATTTGT